ACTGGGCAAAGTTGGATTTTAGCCATTTTTATCCTGTTGAGGCTGGAAGGGGCCGAGATTTTTTTCAATAGAGAATCGAAGAAGCAAAGATCTTTTCCGGTGAGGATCGACAAAGCCCAGCGCCGTGTGGTTAATTTATTGCTTTGTATTTTTTTGTTCCTTTCGCACATGTATTTTGTAAATGCACACATTCATCGTGTTTCTGTTGAGTTGTTAGCAGCTTTATGCTTGTTTTTTTAGGCGATTTTAACTTAATACTGAAGCGATTTTATTTGAATTGTTTTATTAGAATATAGCCCCTCCGTATATTCAGTCTCTAAGATGGCCGTGTAGGCGCCCATAATCAGCTCGAATGATAAGCAACCCTTATGTCAGTAACACATTTTCGTTGATACAGTTGTCGATGGTTCTTTCTTTCATCTTATCTCACTCTTACTTTCTGTCCTACACACTATTCGTTCTTCCTGAATTCCATCGCACCTTCGCCATCTGCCCCAGGACCGCGGTACCAATCCTCAAGCACGTCTAGGCCCCGCGTACGAGCTCCTCAAAGTTTTGGCAGGAAAATCGCTAACTTGAAGGTCAACCTGAATGCTGCATTCTGCTTGCTCAGAAGCTTGCTAATAGCAATTGTTTGATTCCCCTTGCATATGCCAGTACCAGTTTACCATCGAAATGAATGAATGAACCGTAGGGGAATGACTTGTGCAATTGATTGGTTGTTCCACCGCTGCAATCAAACTCTTGATCTTCACCACGAGTACAGCTCTATTTGCCCCGGTGCTATACCGACCAGTGATTATTTGGACAAAACTGAGGAAAATCCAATTTTCTTGTTTAGAAATTTTAGCAATTTTAGAAATTTTTAGCTTAAATGAAAAGTCATTTTAGCTGGGTGAGTGATGTATGTTATTCGGTTCCAACATTAATTTTTTTGTGAAATCTGTCGCCCTCTTTTTGTCAGCCAAAAAACTTAGACGAATATTAGCAGATTAAATGCGAGTTTTATTGTGCAACTTGACGTATTTTTATGCGTTTTGTGCTGTGTAACGCATATTGCCACGGGGTTGTCTGTGTGTGTATTTGTGTGTATGTGTGTGTGTGTCCGCAGCAACTTGTTTGCCCTGGTACCGGTTGCAGGAGAACACCCCCTTCTTCTTTTCCCTCAACCGTGCTTCCACCTTCCGGTCCCTCCTCCTCCGTAGCGGGGTAAGCTATGATCTTTTGATCATATCCTTTCTATTTTTGAACTGTATTACGACGGTGAATTTCAAAAATCATCGCTTTTTTAGTATCTCTTTGTATCTAATTGTATTTATTTTTCTTCTCCATTGACTACTTGTTTTCGTTTGCTCACTTCCCTTTGTTATTTTTTTGTTATCTTTTACCTGAACACTTAATAAAAGTTCGATTTTATGCATTTTTTTTTTTGATAAATTATAAGTTTCCGAAACAGATTGATATTTAATGACCTGCTACTGGAAAAAAATTTTTTTTGGTTTTGCCGAAATTTTCTTTGTTTTTTCTAAAATTTTTCCTCAGTGTTTTTAAGAATATCTTAGTCTTGTACTGTTTGTCATAGTACCATTGTTATGGTAAGTATCATTATTATCTCTTGTAATCGAGCGAAAATTTGATTCGGCCAGAGGGATTCCAAACTCCTTTGCTTTTTGGGCCGCGTAGAGCGCTCGTGTTTTCTGATCCTGAGGACCGGGGAGGGAAGGAAGAG